AAAGCCAATACCTCTTTTAGCCCGAAGAATTCTTTTCCCTTCCTTCCAACATGTTCCCAGGCAATCTCCACTTTCTTCAGCAATTTTGGGTCTTCTCCTTTTTTGAAAAACATAGGTTCGACCTCCTTGGTTGTGGGTGGACGCCTCATGGCATAACCTAATTGGAAAAGAGAGAGTACTGGATTGTAGTTGATAACCCCTTTTGTTCCCATGAGAGGAACATTAGAGAAACCTGCACAGTGAGAGATGACTTCGGAGCTATCCACCTTAAGTTTGTACCATTGGATATCGAAAGAGGTGAGTGTCATCACTTTGGATGCCCATGAACGAGGATCTTCTTTGAATGGCCCTTTGGTGGGTAACTGTGCCATGAACCATTTGTAAAGCATAGGTGTACAGCATACCACTACTCCTTTCTTCCCATGCCTGGAGTGGATGGCGTGGTAAGTATCTTCTAATAGTGTAGGTATAGGATTCTTATTCATGAAGACGCAAAGATAATCCAAGTCTACGATTTCTTTAATCTCAGGGAATAAGACAACTCCGTAAATGATAGCAGCCAACAGAGCATAATAAGCATCCCAATTTCCTGCGTTTGCCATTTCCTTAGCCTTACTTACCAAGAAATCTATAGGAAGACCACAAGTGACTTTTTTACGTCCCCATTTCCCTTTTACATCGTTAAGGCTCAAATAAAGAACCTTAGCAATGGCCTCAAAGTCAGGCTCAATAGGGACTCGAACAAATGGAACATGATTGGTGAGCTTAATGTGGAGGAGATGAGCATACTCCTCAAGAGTAGGTGCTAACTGGTAGTCTTGAAATGTGAAACAACGCAACTCCAGATCATAAAATTGTAACAAAGTTTGTACAACCTTATCATCAACCCGAGCATCCAATAAAGATAGGAGATTCCCATATCTTTCACCAAAAATGCCCATTTGTTGACAATTCATGAGGTCTCTGAGCTCTTCAAGAGAGGGCCAAATACTAGGACGAAACTGATAGCTGAAGTTATCCCTCTTTGTCTTTAGGATGATATCAATGTTGTTTGCCATTCTTTAGAGGAAAAGGAAACCCTGGAGAGATCCTGGAAATGACAATGCGCATGCGAATTAACTATCGACATATATATTTCTTGAAAAGTAAATATGCTATGATGTGTGTGCAAATGATCATGAGGTTACTACTTCCATGATACTGATTCCTGTTGTACTTCCTCTTCACATTCTGTTTATATCGAAATTATAGGTCTGAAACGTAACCGGAAGAAATCCATGAAGATCATAGTTGGATCCTTAGAAAATAAATCTGAGAACCTCATAATTGTTGGCAGAAATCCAGGATATAACCAAAAATAACTGCCTGAATATAGTCACCAATTGTACCTGTGATAAGAACTCCCTCCCCACTCACGTGTGAAGACTAGGTCAGGGTGAGATAATGGTAACTCGAAAATCACGGGTTTGCCTGAAAGTACAATCATCGCAACACAGACGTGCATGATGAAAGTACCTCCAATTGAACCTCATATGAGCGTGGTATATGACATGACTACACTAATCGGACCATGTCCTATAGCCGCCATGCCCCCACTCTATTCCTAGGTGTCCTAGTGCACTCTGGCATGGGTACTGGGCCTTTTTCCTCAATAGTAACATCCCCACCCAAACAAGAAGCAGATCCAGTACAACAACAGTATATGGAAGATAGTAAAGTGTGATGAAAACATATGCTCAGATAAATATGTACAACTGAGTAAACTAAAAGCATAAAAATAAACACCCAAAGAAAAGAAAACAAGAGCTAGGATCGACTCCAGATGGACCAGCACTTGGTCGACCTCTTCCCCAGTGAAGTCGCCAACTGAAACAACCGGCTGAAAATCATCAAACAATGAAGTCGCCATCGAACGTATTTTATCCCATATGTAGGGAAAGGTAAACATCGAGAAAACCTGAAAGGGAGAAGTCATGGTCTTGCGACCGAGAGATAAGGGTAAGGGAGTCTGTTACGCGAGGGGAAGGTATTAGTACCCCACACGCCCGTAGTACTCTACGGTATCCACTCTTGTTATCTATCTTATGGGTGTGTTTAATCTATGATTATTGTTTATTACTGCTATTGAAGAAGAATGCATGCAAAAGAAGGAGAAAAGAATGTAGGTAAAATTAAAAGTTGTGCTCGTTCGGGCCCTACCCCGATGCCTACGTATCCCTTTTAAGGAATCAGGGCAGTCGTAGTTCGGCTTATATGTTTTTATTGGTTTGTATTTTTTAATGAACAGTATTAATTTCGTCTTCTATCGTAACTCGACCTTTGGAGACTTACGCGTCAGCACAGAAGTGAATTAACATGCCCTTTTGAAAAAGTTTTGGAGAAAATGTGCTTGGGCGCACAAAAAGGTTTGAATTTGTTTGTGTTTTAAATGAACAATATTAATTACGCCTTCTGCCGCGACTCGACCTTTGGAGACTTACGCGTCAGCACAAAAGTGAATTAACTTGTTCTTTTGAAAAAAGTTTGAAAGAAAGGCCTGAAGGCAAAAAGAGTTTTTATCGGTCGGTGTTTTTGCTTGTGGATAACAACTATTTAATCTCAAGAGAGAGATATTAGCCATTTCTCTACTTATTCATGAAATAAGTCTTTGAGACCTAAACCACACCAAAGCTTAGAATAAGAGAACAATAAGGTCGAGAAGAAACCCGTTTATCATCTCTCAAGCTTAACAAAGATATGATCCTCGTTAGTAAAAAAATTTAGGATTTTTGTAAGAAAAATAAGTTTTTGTTTTAAAGCAAAAATGCAAAAGGGGAAAGAAAAGTATAAAGGGAGACTAATCTAAATCTATTTCTAATACTATCATATAATGGTGGTCTTATAATTGAGTTTTGAAGAGAAAGTAGAAAGAACATATACCAAACAAGTACTAGTCCGTAGAGCAAAGCAAAAAAAAAGAAAGAAATCGGTGATCTCACGAGCTGCTAGCACCAACAAAGAAAAGAGTTAGAAATTGAATACGTAGTATAGGTGTCGAAGCATCATCGATGTGAAAATAAATCATGATCGAAAACTCAAGCATGCCTGCATATCCTGCATAAGATTCTTAACCTCAAAAGCGAAGGTAAATCACGAATTCTAATAATCGAATAATTGGAATTTAATTTCCTAAAGTCAAAATAATAAAATAAAAAAACAAATTTTTATTGATTTTATTATTTTTTTCTCATGTAAAAAAAAGTTCAAACAAGTCTAATCAACCTACAAAATTATTAAAAAGAAGATACTGAAAGAATAAACCCAGGGGGTGTGAAGGCAGACTATAGGGTAAAGACTTAGCAACCATGTTTGGTCCAACATACCAAAAACGCACTAGCCCATTCAGGAGTCCAAACAGAATTTTTTGTATTCACTCTAGGACATCTCCAAAACGGGCTTACAAAAATAATGGTCAGCAGACCTGAAGAGGGTCCAGTCCACTCAATTTCATTGTTTCTTTTTCTTTAAACATCAACTCATAATAAAATAAAATAAATGAATAAAAGGTGTGAGATGATACGCTGCGTTTTGGATTCAACCAAAATTAGGGCCAACACGAATCGTTCTTCAGCAAACTCTTCCTCTTCAGCGAACACATCTTGCCGGTGTGACCTTCATCCCCTTCGCCCCACTTCTTTGGGCTTCCACCCTCCAACGTCGTACTACCTTCTCAAGCGTGGCGGATTTCTCAAACTTCTCTCTTATTGTTAATGACTTCAAACCATTCTAAAAAAAACCTAATCATAGATCTAGATCTACGGAGAGACATCTTTCAGAAGGATATGGCTGTGACATTAGGGTCTTTACTCTTCATTACCTTCTCTATACCGTGACAATAATGAGGAAGAAAAGAAAAATGCGAAGAAAAGCGGAGGAACGGTGTTGGCTTACCAGAGATGCTTCGGCAGCGTCTGAACCCTTTGGCGTGATGCTTAGAAATCCAGAGATGAGGTTCCACAAGCTCAGATATATATTCTCCTTTAGCTTCTTTTCTTCGCGAGATTTTACTTTCCTCGATTCTTCTTCATCCCAATTCTGTGATCGTGACAGAGACGACACAATTATGTTGCGTTAGCGGTTGTTGCAAGGTGGGAACCTAAGTTCGTGAGTGTTTGAGGTATGGTGAGGATGATGAAGATTGTAGAATTTATTAAGGGAGGTGACTGGAGAATTGAGGGAATCGGTTCAGATGGAGAGAGTCTGAAAAATGGTGGTTATGGTGGAGATGGCCAAAGGTCGTGGCAATGAAGTGAAGGTGAATGTTAAAGAAGGAGAAGAACGGAGATGAGAGATTGAAGTAAAGATTGAAATTGAGAAAAGAAAAAACCATACCCTCCTTTGAATGAAGGTGAGGGAGTCGTTATATAGTTGAGTGAGATTGAGATTCAGTTATGGGAGAAGGAGCTCTAGCCATTGGATTGGTGAGATTATGTTAGAGAGTCGAGGGTCATGATGGATTCAGTTAGCAGGTAGTTATGATTCTGTTAGTTTGTTTAATGAATTGGTTAGTTAGAAATTGTTAATATTTAGTTACAATCAGTTTTATTCCGAAATTTTGTTATGATTCGATTAGAGGCTTTAGTTGGAACTCTCTTTTTCTATTTTTCCCCTTCTGCTTTTCAGTTATCTCTGCTAGAAATTGGATAGAGTGGTTACTCTGTTAGAATTTGTTAGAACTGTTAGCTGTTAGAAATTGGTTTTGTTTTGTGTTATGAAATAACAGTTAGGAGATTGGTAAGTTTGTTAGAAAGTAGTTAGAAAAGTTTGTTAATTGTTAGAGTTATTGATTTTCTGTTTTCCATATTTCTGTGCAGGGATGATTTGGAAGCAGGTTCGGACTGATTTTAACATGACAAGCTAGCAATACCTTCCCAATTGTAATGGCCCATATGTGCAGCTCATGAATAGCCATTACTTCTTCCATCTCCAATATGCCCTTTTGAATTAGAGTAGCATCTATCTCAGGCGGAGTGCTCTCCATCAGGACTTCCAAAACGTTTTCGCAGCATGTTGATAGTTAGGGCCAAAATAATTATAGAAAAGATTAGAGTGCAAATTAAATCAACTATTTTCCATTCTGGTTTGTACCATATCACTGCTCCTCCAATCATTACTCCGATACTTTGGATGGAGTCACCAAGTACATGGAGATAAGCACCTCGCACATTTATGTTTCGCTTCTTCTTGGACTTGTCTTTTGATTCGGCAAGAAGTGGCTCAGTAACACCTCCATCGATGTGATGGTGAATGTGGTCTTCGTGAGTATGATTGGGTTGATCTTCTGAATGATTTTCTTCATCATGGTGAGTGTGGTTGCCGTGAGTATGATGATGGTGCTCATCTTTTGTAAGATCATGAGTAGAAACTGTAATCCCGTTACTGTGGCCATGATGACTGTGTCTGTGGTCATGGCCATGACTGTGACCGTGACTGTGGTCGTGACGTAATAACACAGCCATGATTATGTTAACCATAAGACCAAATGCAGTGACTAGAAACAATATGAACCCGTCCATATTTTTAGAACCAGTAATGAGTCTATCTATGGCTTCGTATACAATAATCCCGGCAAGCAGCCATATCAATTTTATAGAAACCAAAGCACCGAGAATCTCTATTCTATAAAACTCGTACGATTGACGAGGAGTAGCCTCCCACCTGGCAGCCCATAAAGAAAACAAGGAGATGGCAAAGGCTGCAACATCAGAGAGTAGATGTGTTGCATCAGTCAATATTGCAAGACTGTTGGCTTTGATACCACCAACTAGTTCAACGGTCATGAAAATAACACAGAGGATCACTGCTGTCAAAAGCTTTCGCATGGAAGTTGAACGTTCTCTGGAATCCTTTGAGATGGATCCAGCATCTGAGAACTCACATGTTTCTTCCCCACAAATTTTCCTTGCTACATCAGGAAGATTCCTACTGACTTCAATAATTTGTGTAGTTTTTTTTTCATGTGTTTGATACACTTTGAATGTAGTAATATTTGGTTTCTTTTCCTTTGGAAAATAGTGATGAAAATTGGAATGAGATTTGCAGTCTTCTTGTAACGGAAAAATAGAACTTGAGTGAAGATACGAATGCAACTTAAATGGTTATGTAACCTTGTGAATTCTTGACTTCGAATGACGAAATACCTATACTTGAACATCTAGTCCCTTTTTTTTATTATTAAGGTTTTGCATGAGATCCTGTAATCTTGCAGTGAGTTCAACAAGATATTCGTCAAACAATCAAAATGATTTTGGAATATTAAGTTCTCACTTGTGCATTTCACGCGTTCAAAGTAGAGACTTAAATGGGTTTAGACGTAATCTTGAACACCGTTTAAACGAAATTCATTTCCTTTTCCAAAACCTCAACATTCTAATGAGCTTTCGATTATGGATTTTAACAACTCAATTTGAACTTAAAGACTTCGAATGAACATCCTAAAAGGATTGGCTTGTACCAAATTATTCAAGAAACGAGTCTTAAGCAACAAAACTTATTAGACAATATACCTAGGATCACGATGAACTTTGCTTTTGTTTCTCCAAGCACTCCATATTTGCAAATTATGAACTCATGGAACTAAGTAGTCACTGTGATGGGTAATTCACAATAGCGAATTCGACTCAAATTCAAATCTTAAATCCAAACTTCAATCTTGAATCCATATCAATTTGTATGATAAGTAATTTGAATAGTCAATAAGATCTCGATCCTAAAGAATTCATGACCTTGCCTTTTGTATTATGACTCATATTTCCTGATTCAATCCACAAATCTTGACGAAGTCCTTCCCTAATTGACGACCTTAAATCATCAAAGATGGACATAAATGATAATGAAAGAATATGATCAAGATTAACATGAAACTTTATTTCCCCTGATCTTCAATTACATGAACATTTATCAACGAATAGAAACCCTGATTCCTTGGCCTGGCATAGGGAAATAAACCCTAATCTCTAGAACTGATGAAACTGGATGGTGAAGAAGTCCAAAAGTGGGCATGCTCCAAAACCCTAATTCTTTGGTCTTGTATATCAGGAAGACCCTGGATAATCGAACCTATTGAACCCATACACCTCAAATCAACTGTAAACCCTAGCTCCCTAATTGCTGGTCTTTTGAACCTCAGGCGATCTACTTTATGAAAAATGCATGCTATACACATGACCCATTGGAATGATGTAGATGAATGCAAAGTCCAAGTTAGCATAAGAGATATTTAGGAGGGCAAATTTTGGGGTGCAACAGGTGCCATGGCGGTGTTGTAATGATAATGTTTTAGGAAAGCATCGACAAGATCACCCCAGGTACTAACATGAGTTTGCTCCAATTTCATATACCATTCTAATGGAGCTTCGGCAAGACTCTCTTGAAAGAAATTCATAATAAACGGCTCGTTGCTAGCATAAGCAGCCATTTTTCTGCAGTAAGATCGGAGGTGTGTCTCTGGACATGTAACCCCCTTATACTTGTCGAAATCAGGTACCTTAAACTTTGGTGGGAACACAACCCCTGGAACTAAACACATAGCAGTGGCACTGAATCCTGGTTTCTTAGAAGTCTCCATAGCCTTCAAGTGTTCTTCCAAAGCCTTATACATCTTAGCAGTTTCAGACAAATCAGACGTAGAATCCTTTGAAGGGTCATCAAGGTCGATGACATCATGGTGGTCATCCACAATCAGTCGTGAGTTCTCCTTAGGAATCCCTCCATGGTCATTCCTGGGTCCACCATTCTTGGACGTGGAGGCACTGTCAACCAGCTTAGTAACGCTTAGTCTGAGCTCTTCCTGCCCTTGGATGACGACATGAAGATTTTCCATGAGCTGATTCATCTGATTGCCCATGGTGTCTATGTCTTTGCGGAGAGTGGCCTGGTTCTGCTCGATCTGGTCCATAATCCTCAACTTGTTGGCTCGAGTGCGGTAAGGATGTAGGGAAGTCGTCTTGTGGATTCTGATAATAAGAGGCAAAACCATCAGATAAGAACTCCTGCCAGAAAACCTGCAATTCATGTAATGCATGATATGTATGATTATGAAATGATTGTCCATTCCGGTTTTCCATAGCTCAATTAACATCAGTAAAAATGGAGCAACATGATAATAAGAACAAAGATATAAAGGAAACATTCAGAAATAAGAGAAACTCCCACGGAATTGAATATAGGAAAGTCGTGAGAGTACAAGATAAGCGATTTCGTCCGACAAGCTTGGTGGTAATCGAGACAACAATATAATAGCCAGGCTGAAGGTAGGTTACCATTCTTCCTCTACCTCTATCTCACATTACTAAGGTCCAAATAAAGTTCCTTAGCAACAGCTTCAAAATCATGCTCGTTCCAAACAGCAATAAGTATGTGCTCAGTAACCTTGAACAAATGAGAGCATCCTTCCGGAGTTGGAACAATCTGATAGTCCTGGAAGGTGAAATAGTGTAACTCGTAGTCGTAAAACTGAAGTGGATTCGAAGCACCACCATGCCTTTCAATAAGAATCTCCACATTTGGACGGATTAAACGGTCTTTTAAACTTTTCAAAGAAGGCCAAGAACTTGAGCACAAAGCTTGAGTATCACTGATAAGTACAAGCGTCCCTCTTGGTCCTCTTGGGACCATCACTATTGCTAGACGTTACTGACGGAAATTATAACTTCGTGAAATAACCCGGAATGGACATGAACATGCAGGGTTAGCATACAGTTTCATTTTTCTGACATTTCTTTTGGAAAAATAAATATGCTATGATGTAAGCGCAGATGATCATGGGGTTACTACTTCCATGATACAGGTTTCTGTTGTACTGTTTCTGCATAGTCTGTAAATACCAGGATCACGGGTCCAGGACATAAACCAAAGAACCTCATGAACAGATTCGGAACCCAGAAAATAAATCTGAGAACTTCCTAGTTACTGATAGAAATCCAGGACATAACCAATAGAACCAATAGTCACCGTCTATGAGAAACCATCTGAACATAGTCACCATCTGAGCATAATCACCATTTGTACCTGTGATAATAATTCCCTCCCGATTCACGGGTGGAAACTAGGTCAAGGTAAGGTCGTGGTAACTCAAAATCGAGGGTACTCCGGAAAAACTATCACCGTGTCAACTACGTGAAAACGATAGCCCCTCATTTGTACCTCATCTGAGCATGGACGACATGGCGGCGATAGTGAGACCTAAGTCAACTAGCCATTCATCTTCCACTTTATTCCTAGGGTTCCTATGGTATACAACTCTGGCCTAGGTATTGGGCCTTTTACCTCATAGTAACACCCACCCAATAAGAAGCAGATCCAGTACAATAGTAGTATATGGAAGACAGTAAAATGCAATGCATACATATGCTCAAGTATGTACAAAATGAATGAACAAACTGAAAGCATAAAATAAACACCTAAAGAAAAAGAAACAAGAGCTAGGAGCGACTCCGGCATGGACCAGCATTTGGTCGACCGGTCCCCGGTGAAGTCGTCAGCTGAAACAACCGGTTGAAAATCATCAAACAATGAAGTCGCCATCGAACGTATTTTATCCCATATGGAGGGAAAGGCGAACATCGAGAAAACCTGAGAAGGGAGAAGTCACGGTCTTGCGACCGAGAGATCGGGTAAGGGAGTCTGTTACGCGAGGGGAAGGTATTAGCACCCCACACGCCCGTAGTACTCTACAGTATCCACTCTTGTTGTCTATCTTATGGGTGTGTTTAATCTATGCTTACTGTTTACTATACTACTGAAAAGAGAATGCATGCAAAAGAAATGAGAAAAGAATGTAGGGAAAATAAAATTGTACTCGCTTGGGCCCTACCCCAATGCCTACGTAACCTTTTTAAGGAATTAGAGCTACCGTAGTTCGGCTCACATGTTTTTGTTTGTTTGTGTTTTTTATGGACAATGTTAATTTTGCCTTCTGTCGCAGCTCGACCTTTGGAGACTTATGCGTTGGCACAGAAGTAAACTAATCCCGTCCTTACCTGAAAAGGGTTTTATAGAAAAGGTTCTCAAGCGCACAAAATGGTTTGAGTTGGTTTGTGTTTTATTACCTTGAAAAAAAAATGTTTAGGTACGATTTACATGTTTTTGATTTGCTAAGAAAAGAAGTTTTAGTTTTAGATGCAAGGATGCAAAAAGGGGAAGAAAAGAGTCTAAGGGAGACTAGCCTATTTTTAGCCTAATGTTATCATACAATGGTAGTCCTAAGGTTCAGATTAACAAAAGGGAAACGTCTACCTAATGTTAGCATGCGTGGTTTACAACCTAAGGTCTAACTCGCATCCGAACGGAGCAAGTGCATCGTAAGGGAACAGGGTATATACAAGGATAAAGCAAAAAAGATAATAAGCTCAAGAGAGCACACCTAGAGAGATTCTATCTAGGTTAGCATGCGAAAGAAAGTCTAACAAAACTATCCTATAGGGAACATGCAATGAGAGCGAAATCGTGATCTCAATTTCTAAATTGAGTGACTCATCGATCAACAAGAAATAAAGGAAAGCAATAAAATCCTATAGGTAGCATGCACTGATAGTAAAGTCGTGATCTCGATTCCTAAATTGAGTAACTCATCGATCAGCAAGAAATAACGGAAAGCGATAAAATCCTATAAGGAGCATGCACTGAGAGCAAAGTCGTGATCTCAGTTCCTAAATTGAGTGACTCATCGATCAACAACCAAAGAACAAACACAAGCACAACACATATAGAAAATAAAGTGCGGAATGCCTGCTACAGGTCTTTAAACAGCGACTTAGAGCACACGCTCTTTATTTCCTACTTCTCATGATATCTAGAAGGCAATAACGAAATGCAATAAAGT